GTGTCCCCCACCAGCAGGAGCTCACTGCCAGCAGGGAGGGCAGCACTGCCTGCCTGCCTCAGGCTGCAGCACGGCCGGGGGGCTGCGTCCCACCCTGCGGGCAGCGACAGCGACTGAGCTCCCCGGCGTCCCCTGCTACTGGAGATGGGTGGCCAAGCCACGAGATGAAGCCAAGCAGGCAGAACAAAAAGCTGTGAAGCAGACTGAACCTATCAAAGAATGTACTTTTAAATGAATCCAATGAACCGTTGTTGTCTGAGCTTCTCTGCCCTCCCTCCTGTTTCTCGCTTTCCTACCAGCGAGCAGATGCAACGACCCTTCTGGAAGCAGAGTCCTTGGCAGGCAAGTCCTCTGCACCCCACAGGGCAGGCACCAGCTGCTGGGTGCAGCCACAGCCACCAGCGTTAGTGGGACCGTGGGTCTGGGGTCTCAGACCCCCGTGTGAAGCTCTCGGCCTGGCCCCACCCAGGGCAGAGCACTGGCTTTTCCTTCCAGCGACAGACTGTTGCTGGTCCTGGGGTTTGCAAAACGCTTGTTTACACTGCCTAAATTCTGGGGAGCAGCTAAGATTGCATCCCTTTTTAATCCCAACAGATTAAGGCCAAGTCCTGCTTTAAAAAAAATGCGGCTGATCAAGGTCTAGCCTTCCAGCCAGCGTCCTCAGAGAGCAGAGGGTGTCAGCCGGGAAGCCCAGAGCAGGAGGGTGTCGAGGAGGGTGTAACACACCCACTCCGTTTCTCAGCCCGCCTTGCCCACCGGCCCATGCAGAAAGGAATGCAGGGCAGCCCCGCTCCTCCCCAGCAGCACCGATACCGCCCCCTCCATCCTGCACCTCCAGTCCCTTTCCTCACACGGCAGGACTCCCTGTGCTGTGGCAGGAGCCCAGTTCCCAAGCCTGGGGATGGAGAACGTTGGTGCAGGAACCCGGGTTGGGCAGAAAAGGAGCTGTGCTGTGGGTCCCAAGCTTGTAGGGGGAAGGCAGTTTGCCAGCTCTCCTACAGATCCTTTACAAAGGCAGGGAGGGTGAAGACCCATGAGGCAGGGACAGATCAGTGTCTGCTCAGTGCTCCTGCTGCTGGGGGAACCCAGATATAGGACCAGTGGGTGTCAGTGCTTCTGAAACTCAGGCTGGTGGCTCTGCTCAGTGGGTCACTTTGGGGCAGACCAGAGCAGTAGGTGGGACTGCTCATGGATTTGGGGCATAGGCCTAAAATGCCTGCAGTTTCGGGAAGGAACAGGAATCAGGGCAGCAGAACCTGACCCTTGCATAACATGCATGCCTAGGAATGCCTCGAGTCCTTGCTCAAGCACTAATTGAGGTCTTCACTTTGTTGGGCTTTATTTGAGGGAGGAACTCCTTCCTGCAGAAGGGAAGCTGCACTGCCTGACTCTGTGGCCACAAAAAGGTTGTGGGCTTTTCCCAGCCTGGTTTGTCCCTTTCACAGGGGAAAGAGCTCAGTAAACCAAGGCAATGTCCTCTGAACACAATCATTCCTCCCATAGATCCAACTAGGGGTTATAGCCTAAATCAGCATGAATATCCAAAGCAGCTGTTGCCTGGTAAAAAAGGCTTTTCCACTCTATTCAGAGCCACTGCCAAACTTCATATCATGCACCACCTCGGGGAAGGGAGCCAAGAGCTTCAGCAAGCAGCTCTTAAGTGCAACCTGTGGACAGATGGTACTGGGGATGCCAGCAGAGCCCTCACGTGCAGCAAACTTCAGGGAAGAAAGCCCAAAGGAAAGAAGTTTGTGAGCTGACAAGGGCTGCCTTTGGGGAGCCTGCTTCTGCTCCACAGCTACCTACAGCTTCCAAATAATAAGGTGTTTTTTTTCCTTATTATCTCCAGTGTTACTAAGACAAAGACCAAGAAGGACACTGTTACCTTGGGATTCTCACTTTACAGCCTTTCCATGACCTTTCTCCATGACGCAAATCTAACTAGTCCCTCCCCCCTCCCCCCCTTTTTTTTTCCCCTTGCACACTGTTGCAAACCTTTGTCATCTTTTGCAGGGCAGTTTTCCCTCCCAGCAGTATTTAGTTCAGCAGTCTAACAATGAGCTGTGAAATCACTTTGTGTCCACTGTTTGCTTGCCTGTTGAGATGACACAGACAAGCTGCTTTCTCCAATTTTTAAACTATAAAATAACCCTTGGGAAGTCTGAAAGAGCAAAAAACTCCTTCCCTACTGGATTCAGTGTGTGTTCACTCTGATTTATTACCCTAGGACTACTGAGGAGTTCCTGGACTGCTAACATGGGTAATACTGCACAGCTCCTACACCACACTTTTAAAAAGCAGTCAGTCATTGATGCTGGGAATAACCACACTTTTAACCCACCCTCATGGGTTAAAAGCCATGGGGAAGCCTCCTTCTCCAAGGTTTCTGCTGGTGAAATAAGAAATGGACAGCAGGAAACACATCTCCAGCCATTGTGAAGGGCAGGGTCAGATGTTTCATCAGCTGTGCCTGGAGGAATCAGGCTGTCACCCTGGAGCACCAGGCAGGCAGGGCAATGCCAGGCATCACAGCTGCAGTCTCCCAGGAGCAATCCACCCCTCCGTACACACACATGCAGCCTGAGCATCTCTGTTTCCAAGCACTCCTGATCTCCTTCCTCCTTCCTCGTCAGCCTGCCTGGCACCTTCCACACCTGTGCAGGCTGCAGTTTCCTCATTGCAGGTGGACGTGGCCTCACACCCAATCCAGGCATCTGATTTTGCACCACCCTGAAACACAGGACATGACAAGGATTAATGCACGGCAGGACTCTGCCCTCTCCTCTCATTGCTTTTGAAAACACCCCTCCCACTTGACAGCTGATGATGATAAAGTCCATCACTCTGCTCTCCAGTGCTTATCTCTAACCAACAGCTTTGTGCTCTGAAAGCCATGTCCTTCAAAGGCGTGGAGTGTTTTTTCAGGCAGTAGCCTTTGCCTGTCACATACTGCCAAGCCTGTGAACCCCAAGGCATGGAGATGGCACCCCTCTTCTCCCCACCTCCCTGCTCCTGAGGCACATGCTTTCACACCCACTCACTGCACTGCTGAGGGCAGACAGCAGCAGAGCTGGATGTTCATCTTGATTCATGTGGCTTCTGTTAAGGTCTCAATTATGTTCCCAAATTGTGGCTCTGATTAGATTCCTGCTTTTGCTCACAGAAGTTGCATGGGTGAGCTGGCAAGTCTGATGCAATTGCTCAGCTATTAATGAAGTATCTGGGTTAGTCACCAACTGTCCTTTGCCTACAGGATCTTTGTCACTGAAGCCCAAAACACTGGCTTCTCAAACCAAGGGCTTGCAGTGAGAGGACAAGGGGGATGGATTAAAACTGCAAGAGGGGAGTCTGAGGGGAGACATGAGGGGGAAATTCTTCACTGTGAGGGTGGTGAGAGCCTGGCCCAGGTTGCCCAGGGAAGCTGTGGCTGCCCCATCCCTGGCAGTGTTGAAGGGCAGGTTGGATGGGGCTTGGAGCAACCTGGGCTGGTGGGAGGTGTCCCTGCCCATGCAGAGGGGTTGGAACCTGATGATCTTTAATGTCCCTTCCAATGCAAACTGGTCTACAATTCTATGACTTTGTGACAGAGCTATTATTTGAAAATACAAAGCTACTCCCACCCAGGAAATCAAAGCTTTCCATTGGAGAGAAGCTTCCCATCCACAAACACACCAAATCTACACTAAGCTTCCCAATCTAAGAGCAGCAAGCTGGTAACAAGCTCCCATGCTTTACTACTACTCCTACAACTTCTCAAAGCTGTAATGTCTCATGACATTTACCACAAGCAATACCTGCTGGCAGGCTAAGCAGGGTGGGTTTTACAAGAAAATAAAACAATTAACTGCACAACTTTATCCAGCCTAAGTCTCTTCATTAAAATGAGAACTGTTAGCCTTTAAGGGGGGGGGAAAATATTGTCTTTAAAAACTGAGCCACACTAAAAAAGCACTAAAATTTGAACTCCCAGTTTAGCTAAGTTAATATCCCTCATTCCCAATGTGACACTATTTAAGCAAACAAAACTGTGTTTTACCATTAATGAAAAGAGATAAAAATATTCTTAAGATATCAATGCAAACTATTCCAGCAAAAATATTCATTGACATCAAAGCAAGCTACCAAAACTTTTTATCAGCATGTATAAAAAAAATTAAAAATTGCTAAATTAAATGGTCTGCTTTCAAAAAACATTGAAACAAGTGATAAAAGTCACACCTCAAAAACTTCTAAGAAAATTTGCCACTGTCCTTCACTCATTTACCCATCCCCTATCATCCCCACAGCTAAAGTGAATAAAGGTTTCTATCCCCTTATATAGCCTCAGGCTGGGCAAGATCTGTTTAAAAGGAGGTTGGGAAAGGCTATTCTTTTTTTCTCATGTGGAGGTATTTTTCTGAGGTTGGGGTCTTGTTGGAATTTACCTGGAGAGCAGAAGGATGGCAAAGTTAGAAGGTAGCTAATTTTCTGGGTATTGCTTTGTGCTTATGTTCTAGTTGAGCTAATTTTGGAAAAAACAAACCTAGCAGAGTTGTGTTTTGCTTCCAGAGAAAACTTAAAAATGATAAATATTGGGTTAAATAAGTCTGAGGCTCACAGTGCTTTGAATCTGTATTGACTTTTGGTCAAGTCAAGCCAACTAAGCTCCTAGTGTTTATCAGGACTTTACTGTACAGTCTGTTCATAAAATAGAAGCAAAACAAGCTCTGTGTTTGGGGAATGCACCTTTACCTTTTCTTAGCTCTGCTGGCACTGAAGGAAAGCATAAAGCTGCTCATGGCAGGTTGGTCTGATAAAGTTTTCTGGTGCATTTGTCTCCCTGTGTGATGGCTCTACAGGAAGATGCCTTCTGTGTGTTCAAAGGCTACAAGCTATTTAAAATGCACCTCTAAGAAGTCATAGTTTCTGTTATGAAGGAAACACCCATCAAAACTATTCCTAATTTCCTCTACACAAACATGTCAGTCTGTGGAGACTGGCCTTGGTTTGCATTTCTAATGCTGCTGTGGGAAGCAATGACCAAAATCCTTCAGGAAGTGTCACAGCAGCTTCCCCCTTGCTGCTGGCTCTTTGTGTAGATGCTTATTGGTTTCAGTCTTTCCATTTTCCTGAGACACAGCTCTAGGCTTGAGATACTCTGATGAAACTGGTAGCAGAGGAAGTATTTTATGGTCTTTAATGCAGGCCAGAACACTCTAGTGAAAGTGGGAATGAGAAGAATTTGTGTTAGTGTGTCTTGGGCCTGGAGTCCCATAGTAACTCAGCAGGGGACAAATAGCTTTGCACAGCCAAGCACAGAGCAGGCACTATCACAGGCTGTCCAAAGTCCACCTGGGAGCTGCATGTCCCTGGTAAACAGAAGGGATTGTTTAGGGGCAGAGGAAAGGTCTTGAGTTTCGCTCACAGGATGAGAAACTTCTCCCAGGTCTTTGTGGGGAGTGTTAT